TAACCTGGTGCATCTGCTCCGCTTCTCCCTGCAGCCCCTGCAGCCGCTGCCCGCAGCCAGCTGCCGCTCATGGAGCTCCTCGCCCTGCGCTGGGTGCTGCTCAGCACCTTGCTCAGCACGTCGGCCTCCAGCAGCGCCCTGCGCGAAGGAGACCCCAAGGACCCCGAGGAGATAGAGATGGACATGGCCCCTGACTCCTTTGATGACCAATACGAAGGCTGCGAGGTCAAAATGTGGGCTAAGTTGCAGAAGGTGAACCTTTCAGAGTTCGACACGAACGACAACTATGCCAACACCTGGAAGAGGGCATCTGCAGAATGGCAGGAGCGCTGCGGCTGTCCCACTCAATGCCCAAAGCTGAGACAGGAGCTGGCCATCGCCGTGCTGGCGTACACTGCTCGAGGTGGGATGTATAGGAAGTTCAACGCAGCCACACGTCAGGGCGGACAGAACCACCAGCACTACCTCAACTCGTATGACTTCAAGACGCTGCACTTCGTCCTGACCCTGGCGCTGCAGGATCTGTGGAAATCCGATCCCAATGAATGTTACAAAGTCTTTCGTGGTGTCAAGGGCATCCGTTTCACTACCGAAGAAGGCCAAACTGTGCGCTTCGGCCAGTTCACCTCTGCCTCCCTAAAGAAGGAAGTTGCGGAGAAGTTTGGCAAGGATACCGTCTTTGTGATCAATACCTGCTATGGTGCCCCCATCAAGCAGTTCTCCTTCTTCAAGTATCAGGATGAAATCCTCATCCCACCTTTTGAAGTCTTTGAGGTCATCAAGATCTCCAATGCCAATGGCAGCAACCAAATCGAACTCCTCTCTAAAGAGAAGAAGAGCAACCACAACTGTGAGCTTCTGAAGTGTCAGGGCAGGCAGTGGGGTCGGGGCCACCAGGAGGTGGGGTTGGGGCTCAGCCCTGGGCTGGCTCTGCACTCCCTGGGCTGCTCCAACTGCAGCTGGGGGGGATCGGGGCACAGAGAGCGTGACCCCATCCCAGCAGCTCTGTAAGGGGATGGGGAGTGCGGAGGTGAAGGGAACATCTCTGTTTGTGGGGGGTGGGGACATGGGGAGAAGGGGAGATGGGGA